TCTGAATTGGACTACTGTATGTATTAATGATATCCAATAAACTTTCAAAAGAAAAATGCTGTATATTTAGAAATGTTAATGCAAGGTGTTTCAAAAGTAACTTTTTAAAAACAAAATTGATACAATTTCCAGAAAAGGTAGGGAAAGAATATGGTTTAATTTATTGACTTAATAGTTTCTGCGTCAAATTTACACTTAATCAATTTAATAAGAAAAAATACTGTATTATATATAATTTACATGCAAATTGATTGAACGAAGCATTATAACTTCTTCAAATTTAAAATCCAAGCAATTTATATCCCATTATCTAATCATTCCTCATTACTGCAAACAATTTCACCATATTTCTCATGTTCATTAAGCGAAACATAATTTTTAAGACATGAAAAATAGCATTTTCTGTTCTTAATCTCATACTCACTCTTTAAACCTACCATAATGGTTACTTATTAAATCAACTATTATTGGAAGTAAGTTACAGCAAGTTTGGGGAGCTTTCTCCCATGTTTGCATTAGATTAATTGTTGCTGTTGATTTTCTTAACTAAGTTTCAAAAGTAGTTAAAAAAGGCTACCTGTAAGGCTTACACAGCCAGACAATTAGTTTGATAGAAATAGCTTTATAAGATGTCAGACCAAATATCAGTGAGTGGAACTCCAAATGGGTCCTTTGCTTTTATGAATCATGGAAGAAACCAGTTCTTGAAGGTTAATTGTGAAGCAAAGCAACTTTTCATTTTTAAGCCATGGACCAGCTTGCTCATCTAGTTTGTACATGCAAAGAAGCCATTTTGAGAAGATAGAGCTGGTTGAAGCATACGTACTGTCCTTGATTTATGGCTTTGTGAAATTGAGTGTGTCACTTTTGCTGCCCAAACCATCAAAGAGTAATCTGGTGTCAAGGTTATCTCTTGGTGAGTCTTTCAAATATCTAAATTTATATATCTAAAAATTCTTTCATATATCTAATTGTCTTCGCCTTGATTTGTTTTTTTTTTTTAACACATTTGAATAAATGAATCAATGTTCTACTATGTTTCCCTTGAAGAACAGAATGAATTGTATTTACACTACTTTCAACTGACCAGGATAGTACAAACCGCTTTCATGTACATTCATAATATAAGGGGAATCATAGCTTTTCTCCACCTGTGTGTAATAGATTTCTTCAGATACAGTTGGTGCTTCTTTCGAGCCCATTGTACCATCTGGATTGACATTAGTAATGCAAAAACACCAACTAAAGAAAAAGAAGGAAATTGCTGGTCAACTGGGGCATTGTCAGAAAATATATTTTCTCTTGCCCACCCTCACCATCCATACAAGGTTGTTTTAGAATTGGGGAAGATCTTTACTGCATTACAGCTTAAGTGAAGGGGCAAGATCCTAGATGGAATTCATGCATTTTTGGAAGTAGTCTGATGAGATTTTATTTTTAGTAGCTTCCATGTTTACTGAACATTGCCTATTTAAAAATAATGCTTCCTCAAATTCCCTGATTTGAAAGGAAAAACCTTATTATTGAAATGTTCCTTACTGTTGGATCAAAAAAATTATTAATGGAGAGAAATTAAATTAAATACTGCACACACTGCAAGCAACTAGCCTTTAATATCCTATTTTATAAGATATGTTCTTGGTTTCCCTAAGTTGAAGTTCATTTTTGGAGGGCTACTTTATTTTCTGGTAAGTGGGCATTTGAATTAACAATCATGGCAACTTTTTTTTTTTTTTTGCCAGCCATTTTCATTTCCATCACGTGTTCCCAAAATTGCAAGTGTGCCTTTGTCTAAAAAGGCTAACTCTAAAAAATTAATGTTGTTGAATTAAGACAATAATAGAAATAAATTCTAAACAGATTCTTATTCTGCTTGGTTATGTGGAAGATGAAAGGAGTCATCTGTTACATAGTTCTTAATTAATACAAATCACATGTATTCTTACCTGGCAGAGTTTGTGTCATCACTGTAAAACACAACCAAGAGCCAATCTATTATAGGAATAAAAGAAAAAACCTTCACCAGGTGGCAATAAAAGTACCTTCTTTTTTTTATTTTGGCTGAATTGTTGGGCTCAGATTAGGCTTCAGTGGAAGCTGTTCCATTTCCCCAGGCACGATCTAGGGCAGTGCTAGCAAACTTTTTCAGCTCAAAAGTTTGGAACAAACCTAACATGACTGCAGGCATATCACACTCAGTCACTCACAAAAGAAAGTGAAACAATTCTCCATCTCCCTCCTACATCTATACCACCCTGAACAGAGGCACTTGGTAGCTGCACCAAGGCTGAATCTAACATAAAGGCCTTGATTTATCAAAAGGACTTTAAACTAAATCTGGGAGGGTGACCAGTCCTTAGGATCTTTAAGATCTAATCCCAAGTATAAACCCCAAGATAACCAATCAAACAATGAGGTAGGGAATGATGGTGTCAACTGCTGAGTTGGCGAATCCAGAAAAAGAAACTCCTGGGACATTATTTTACCAAGAGTATAAACTTTACTGAATAAATCCACATTGGCACAGAAGCAGAGAAACCAGTTCTGGGCTTCCTGTGCAAATGCACACAGAGTTCATTTCCTCTTTCCTCACAGTCCACCCCAGTCCATTATGTCCACCAATCACTTCTGTTCATTTTGTTTTGGAAACCAGCCGATCACGTTGTGACATCTGCTCTGGGTGTCCTTGAGGGGGGAGCAATGTCTCACGGGAATCAATGATGCTTGGATGCCATTCCCCCCACCCTTGCAGTCCACTCCACCACCTCCCTATTCTTTGTCAAGTTGCGAGCAAAGCAGAATATAGGTGAAAGTTCGAGTCTGTCTTGACATGCCGACCCCCCCAGAAGAAGGGCAGACCTGAAATAACAATAAACATACAAATACATTATTATTTACAACCCAATTACTGCTACATTCCTTATTGGGGCCATTGAGGGTACCTCCTTTTAAAACCTCTTAATTAACCTCATTGTCCTAACATACGGTGCAGCCATCCACTCAGCATCTGCTGATGGTTAGCCTTTGTATTGTACTAAGTACTTTAATTTTCCCTCTGATATCTGGAATCGAGAATCATTTTGATCTCATAGTGCTCCTCACCCTTAACCAGGATGAGAGGAGGAGATGGTTCTTTGACTGGCCTAAACCCAGATCCCTGAAAGGGTTTTAAAAGACCACAATGAAATACCAGATGAACTCGCCTTCTTGGCAAGTTTAACTTCGGATTCACGATCTAGACAATTTGGAAAGGTCCTCTGTATTTGAGACCTAACTTTTTATAAGGGTGTCTGAGGTTTAGATACTTGGTGGACAAATACACTTTATCCCGCACTCTAAATTCCCTTTGGGGGGTCCTTTTCCGATCTGCTTGCCTTTTTTGACTTTCACTAGCTCTATTAGTGCTTCATGCATGGCAGACTATATGGCTTTTAGAGTATTTATCCAGTCGGCTAATGACACTGAGGCCAGAGCTTCCTGTGGGAGCTCTGGCATGAGTACGAACTCAGTCCCTGTGGCCACTTTGAAAGGGATAAAACCTATGCTGTTGTGCACCGAGTTGCTATATGCCACTTCTGTGAAAGGCAGAAGCTCAGCCCAATTAGTCTGCTGATAATTTATATAATCTCAGACAAACCATAAAGTGTTCTTGCTTTGAAAACAGGCCAAGGACAATCCAAATTACTGTGTTCCCAGCACTCTCAGTCAGCTCCATGATAAAGTCCATAGATATCTCCTCCCATGGGCTAACTGGGTTGGCTACCGACTGTAGCAAGCCTGGAGGCTTCCCAGGTAGGTGGTTCATGGAGGCAAACACAGGACAGCTGGCAACATAGGTTTCTGTATCCTTTTTCATCTTCAGCCACCAGAACTGTCTCTTCACCAGGTGAAGGGTCTTCACAAACCCAAAATTCCCTGTGGATTTTCTATCATGGTTCCTCTGCACGACCAAAGTTCTCTGGCTGGCTGCAATGTACAATTTACTCCTCTTCCAGGCCATGCCCTCCTTCATCAACAGGTCATCTTTATGTCTTTGGAACTATTCATCCATCCCCAAAGCATCTTTTAGCTTTGGGGAGCCTAGCAAGCGCTGGGCTGCAAACTGCCTGGATGGGATAATGGCATTAACTATCTCCTCTCAGGTACTTCTGTATTGGGGCATGTGAGACAGGGCATCGGCTAAGAAATTCTTCCCACCCTGCAAATAGAGAAGGGTAAAATTGAAGCAGTTAAAATACTGAGCCCCTTGACCTGCTTAGGGGATAGCTTGCTTGGTGCCTTTAATGCTTCCAGGTTCTTGTGGTCCGTCCACACTTTGAATGGAATCTTACTGCCTCCAGGTGAGAAGAGCCCATCAGACCATGTAAGTTTCCTTCTCCCAGATAGTCCACTGCCTCTCAGTATCAGACAATTTGTGAGATTTGTAGGCACATGGTTGCAACTGTCCCTTTTCATTCCTCTGGAGTAAAACTGCCCCTTCTGCCACATTACTGGCATCTGCCTGGATCACAAAAGGCTCATCTGGGTTTGGATGCTTCAAGACCAGCTCAGCAGCAAAGAGCCACTTCAGCTTTTCAGAGGCTGTCTGGCATTTGATAGAGCAATTTAGTGGCTGACTTGGTTTGGGTTTCACTTCCGTCTTGAGCAAGTTGGGGCTGGATGGATGGGGCTATCTGGATAAATATGGGGATGAACCAGGGGTGAAATGCTACCAGTTTGGACTGGTTCGGGCAAACCAGTAGCAGATATTGGGGCTAGTTCACTGAACTGGTAGCAATCGCTGGTTGGCCATGCCCCCGAGACAGTCCGCAGCCCACAGCCCTGCCATGCTTGCCTGCCTTCCACGCTGCATTCCCAGCATCCTGGGGGCCAGCTTACAAAGGCAGGCAAGCAGAAGGCCACGTGGAAGGCAGGCAAGCATGGCAGGGCTGTGAGGAAGGGAGCTAGCAGCCTACTCCCTTCCCCACAGCCCTGCCATGCTTGCCTGCCTTCCACGCTGCCTTCCCGGCAGTCCCCTATGCCTGCTTGACTTCCGAGGTTGGTGTCCAGTCCGGCCTGGCCAGTGGGTGGGCGGGAGGCCCTTGGTGGAGACACCGCTGCTGGGCTGCCCCAGGACATCTGCAGCAACCCTGGGGCCGGGATATCTGCCTGCCCTCCCGGAGCACCACCGCAGTGCCGGCACTCCTCTCAGCCCCAGAGCAGCGGCTGCATCTTCACCAAGGGCCACCTGCTGTCAGCCTTACCAACACACTGGGTCTGTTGGGCATCCTGAGTATGCCAGCAGAGGATCTAGAAGGTAAGGACGATACTGGTGGCGAGGGAGGAGGGAGACCCACTCGCTCGGCTCCTTGGAGGGACATAGTGAGGCTTGCTCGCCTTTTGGGCCAGGCGCGCTCAGCTTCTGTGGGCCCTTTGGCCACCAGCTGCCTGCTTGCCTTCCCCTCTGCCTCGGGTCCTGCCTGCCCTCCCAGGGTACCACCATGCTGCCGCGGTTTGATTTCTTCCTTCTCCCACTGCGAAACGAAAGTGAACAGCAGTGGGGTTGCTTCGGGAGGTTGCTTTGGGAACGCAGATGTCTGCAGCCATGTGGGGAAGGAGGGGGATGAGAACGATGGTGGCAGGCAAGGGAGCGCCAAGATGAAGGGCTACCCACACTAGCCCACTTGGGTAAGCGCCACTGCCCAGGCCGAAGGGAAAGTGCTGCGGGCTCTGCGGTGGCACAGCCAGGCCTGGCCCTCTCCCCTCACTCTGCTTCTTCACTGCTGGGAAGCGGCAGCATGGCTGAGCCTACTTCCCCCAGAGCGCTGGACTCCATGGACTGAGTTCCTGGAGTGGCACCAGCAGTCAAAGAGAGCAGGCAGGTGGCTGGGTGGGTGGGAATCCAATGGGCTGCTTTGGAGACCCAAGCCCTGTGGAGCTGGCACAGGGGCATGGGTGGAAGGCGGCCTTTACTGCAGTATCCCCCTCCTCTCTTTGGTTCGCCCTGCAGAGGGGGCTCTGCCTTTGCAGAAATGGGGTGGCGGTTTGTATGGAGGAATGGCGGGGGGGATGTGCGGCCCTCCGGGATGGAGAGCAGGGCAAGAGAAGGCTCCAAGATTTGCTTGAGCAGTCAAGACAGATGGCAGAGGGAAACTCAAAGCATTGGGGGCTTCAGAAGGGCAGAATGTGCTTCAGAATGTGCAGCTCCTGGCTCTAACAGTGAGTAACGTATATGATGTCAAGTTAGCCATGCCCATCCGGTCACATGACCACCAAGCCACGCCCACCAAGCCACGCCCACAGAACCGGTAGCAACAATTTTTAGATTTCACCACTGGGATGAACTGCCAATAAAAGTTCATGAATCCCAGGAAGCTGTGCAATTGCTTCCTGGTTCAAGAGCCCTTCCAATCCAGGATTGCTCTCATCTTGGCCAGGTCCATCTCCACCCCACCCTTGGAGATGTGGTACCTCAGGTAGTCTAGACTGGTCTTGTGGAAGTCATATTTAGATTGCTTTGCATATAGCTGGGCTTTGCGCAGCTTCACAAGAACTACTCTCATTAGCCTTGCATGCTCTTCCATGGTCTCAGTATAAATTGGAATGTCATCCAATTATATCAGCACCCTTTTGTACAGGTGTTCATGTAGGAACTCATTTATTAATTGTATGAATACTGCTGGTGCCCCTTGGAGTCCAAATGGCATAATCCGAAATTGATAACAACACAGAAGGCAGTTGAATGTAGTTTTCAACTCATCCACCTTTTTAATCCTCACTAAGTAATAGGCTTTCCTCAAGTCCAGCTTAATAAAGATTTTCCTCTTGGCTAGGTAGCCTAACATGTCATTCATGAGGGGGAGGGGATACATATTGGTCATGCATATGAATTTAATCCTCTGTAATCTATGCATAATCTGAGAGACCCATCTTTCTTGTCTTTAAAATTAAAGACAAGAATAAATCCCCTGGATAAATCCCCTGGCTAACTTCTTGTCTATGATCCCCCAAAGTTCCTTCATCTTCTTCGGCATAATGGAATACATCTTTGGCTTGAGTAATTTAGTACCTGGTAAGATTTCAATAGCACAGTCTGTGGGATTGTGGGAGTATGTCTGATTCCCTTTCACTGAACACCTCTGTTAGGTCACAGTACTCAAAGAACGAGCAGCTCTAACTTCTTGCTTCCTTTAAGGGTTTCGTTTACTCCACTTTTAGTTTCCTAACTGGCGTTCAGTGTTTTTTCTGGCTCCTGCTGGCTAGCCATTTTCTTCCTTATTTGCCACTTGTTGCTGTCCCAATCTACTGATGGATTCCATTTCTTCAAGCAAGCTAGTTCTAGGACCATGGTCTCATCATTCCAGGAGCCCAAAAAAATGAATAGTCTCTATGTGAGTCCCAGCCCTGAAGTTCACTGGCTCCATTAGGCACATTGCTGGTGTCCCTCCCATAAATGAGACATCTAACAGGAGAATCATATGGGTTGCTTTAACTTCCTCAGTCTCAATCTTAGTTTCTCCACTGTCTGAAGGCTAATTAGGTACTGAGTAAACCCCGAGTCCAAAAAGGCTATAAGGCCCCCCTTTACTCATGAGGAGGGCACCAAATGTCCTTCCCACATCAGAAATACGGTCCCAGGATCCAGCAGGGCTTCTCCCCCTTGGTAGGGGATCCACCTTCTCTCCCTCCAAGGAGCACTGGACATCTCTTGAGCATTCAGTGGGACTGGCTCTCATGTGAAACATGCTCCCGGTACTCCATCAGGTCAAGCTCCACATTTGTGGCTAACTGGTACCATGCTGGAAGGTCACGGGGCACACACACCCTGGGCAGGCAGTTGTGATACAGCTCCTTGTTTAGGCCTTCCCAGAAAGGTAGACCAGCATACATTCGGGCCAATCTCTTAGGTGAGCTGCCAGGCTATGAAAATCTTGGATGTACTCTGCCTCCGGCCACTTGCTTTGCTGCAGGGAAAGGATGTGGGTTTCTGCACACTGGGCTGCTGTGGGATCTTCAAATCTGTCTCACAACATCTATTCTGGTCTTACAGCTCTGGAGCTCCCTTGACATGGAGAGACAGAAGCTATCCTGCTGGATCCTCCTCCAGGTTTGACATAATGGCATTGACCTAGGTACGCTCATCTAGGTTCATCGTTTCATGGCGCTCCATGTAGTTCCAGACTTGAGTCACGAAGTAAGCCAAGTTCGTGGGTCGCCCATTGAATTGGACTGGTAAGGGAGATGGCAGTTGGTACTCTCGCAGTAGGATGTATCCAGGTGGCAACCCCACTACAGCCAGGGGCACCTGAATGGATATACTAGCTGTCACTGGGGCTGCGTGTGCCAATGCCTGCCCCCTCAATGTGGCTGCAGCTGGGATGGGAGCCATTGTCCCTTGGTGGGGGACTCCGGTTGAATTGGCACCATCAGTTGCAGGAGAGGAGGGGAGGCGATGGTTTAATGGCCCCCAACTCCTGTGACCATGCTTTCAGTGAGATGGCTCCCCAGACCTTCTGCCTCAGCTAGTCAATCAATGGACTACAGCTGTGGCTAGGAACTTCCATTTGGTTGGATCATCCTGCTCAGCTGTTCACCTAGCCTTCCAGTTCCTCCCTGGATCACCATGACTTCAGGGGGGATAGGCTGATTCTCTGCTTCTGCCACTTTCCCCACATAGCTCACCCACTGGCCCCTGGTGCCGAAATACAGTCCTTCCATTGCTTTTTCCCTTTTAGCGTGGGCTGTTGCTCTGGCTTCCCTGGCTTCACACCCCCTTCTGTTCCTTCGACAGTGGGGTCCAGGTAGGCTGCTACCAAGAGAGTTAGTTTAAAGTCAACTGTCCAGTTGGCAAATCCAGAAAAAGAAACTCCTGGGACATTATTTTACTAAGAGTATAAACTTTACTGAATAAATCCACATTGACACAGAAGAAATGAAACCAGTTCTGAGCTTCCCATGCAAATGCACACATAGTTCATTTCCCCTTTCCCCATGGGATACCCACAGTCATTACATCCAACAATCATTTTTGTTCATTTTATTTTGGGAACCAGCCGATCGCGCTGTGACATCTGCTCTGGGTGTCCTTGGGGGCGGGGGGAGCAATGTCTCATGGAAATTGATGATGCTTGGATGCCATTCTCCCCACCCTTGCATTCCACTCCACCATCACCACCACCACCCTTTTGTGAAGCTGCAAGCAAAGTGGAATATAGCTGAAAGTTCAAGTTAGTCTTGACAGATGAGAAGGAAGAAAAACTCAGATATAGGAAGCCTACCCATGATCAGCCATAAAGGATTCAAATGCTTATATTCAAATGATCGAAGTTTGAGAACAAACAAAATGAACTTGAAATACTAGTACACAATGGCAAGTATGATGTAGTTACCATTATCAAAATTTAGTGGAATGAAATGGATGAGTGGAATATACTGATGGAAGGATACAAACTGTTCAAAAGAAATAGACCTATCAAAAGAGGAGGTGGAGTTGCATTATATTCAAGAGATCACTACATCTTTACAGAGATGTACAAAATCCAGAATGAAAGGCTCCTAGAATGCATATGGATCAATATATAAAGAAAAAGAAATAACATTTCCATAGGTGTATACTACAGGCCAACCAACCAAGCAGATGAAATAGATGAACTTTTTGCTAACTAGTTAACAATGTATCACTACCACAGTAGTATTGGAGGAATTTAACTACCCTGATATCAACTGGGAAACAAATTCTGCATAAAGTGGGAGATTAAACAGGTTCCTGACTAATCTAGATGACAACTTTGTCATCTGAAAGATAGAGGAGGGAATTGGAGAGACAGTTTTACTGGACCTAATACTAACAGAGAAGAAATGATAGAGAGGGTTAAAGTTGCTGAAACTTTGGGTAAGAGTGATCCTGTCATATTGAAATTCAGTATAATGCAAATGCAAACATCAGAACATAAACAGTGCCTCAGCCTTTAAAAGAACTGATTTTAACAAAATTACAGAGAGTTTGTGAAGGATTCAATGGATTAAAATCTTAAAGGGGAAAACAATTCAAGAAGCTTGGAAAACTCTGAAAAATAGAATTACAAAAGCCCATTCCAGCTCAAAACCACTGAAAAAGAAAAACAAGAATAACTATACAAAGAACTCTCTCATAAACTGAAAGACAAAAAGTACAGGTACAAAATATGGAAAGAGGGACATATTACTAAGGCAAAATGCCAACAAATAGCCTGCACTTGCAAAGATGAAGTCAGGAAAGCTAAGACTCGCAAATAATAATAAAAAAATTCTTTCAACATATAAAAAAACAAGAAAAAAAAGGTCAAGGAAACAATCAGTCCACTAATGAGAGACGATGACAAGAAAGAAATAGGCAGTAGAGAGAAAGCAGAACTGTTTAATTCATTCTTGGCATCTGTCTTTGCACAAAAAGATAATAAGCCCAACCTACCAAGAACATAACAATAAAATACAGACTAAGAATACAAATGAAAATAAGTAAGAAAATGGTAAGAGAACACCTATCCACTCTAGATGACTTCAAATCACCAGGACCTGATGGATTACATTCCAGAGATCTAAAGGAGCTGGCAGATGTGATCTTAGAACCATTGAATCATATCTTTCAAAGATCCTGGAGCACCAAGAAACTACCAGAGGGCTGGGAAAGAGCTGATGTGGTTCCCATCTTCAAAAAAGGGGAAAAAAACTTATCCAAGAAACTACAGACCAATCAGTCTGGGAAGATCCTGAAAAACATAATCAAGCAACAGATCTGAAAAAACATAGAAACAAGCAAAGTTGTAATCAGAAGCCAACACAGGTTTGCCAAAAACAAATCATGCCAAACAAATCTTACTTCATTCTTTGACAAAGTGCCTAAATTAGAGGACCAATGAAATGGTGGGATTCAAATAATTTAACAATTGGTTCTCTGCCCTAATGACCAGCTGGGTAGGCATGGCTCGGTGGTCATGTGACCGTGTGGGTGTGGCCCACTCAACATTATTCACGTCGATGGGTGCTTTGTCTTAGCTGTTACAATGTAATAAGGGTTAACGAGAGAGGCAGTTTCTGTAAGCAGGGCAATAAAGATTAGGCTAGAAACAACACCAGAATGTTTACTTCCTGCCTTCCTTACAGGATTAGCCATGTAAAATGGGAAAAAAAACAAAAGGAGATTTCTTCCAACAACCGGTTCTCCGAACTGCTTAGAAAGTTAACAACTGGTTCTCCCAAATAGGTGCAAACTGGCTGAATCCCACCACTGAGTGAAATGCAGTGGACATAGTTTACTTGGATTTCAGTAAGGCATTTGACAAAGTACACAACAACCTGCTTCTTGGTTAGTATCACCACCATACGGATTTGTAATTGTAATTGACTGACAAACGACAGTCAACATGTAGTCATTATGAAATTCAATGAAGAGAAAAGTAAAGTTATATACTTAGGCAAAAAAAAACCCCAAAAACAAATGCACAGATATAGAGTAGGGAGTACCTGGCTCAATAGTAAGAACTTCAAGAGGGATGGTGGAGTCCTAGTGGACAATCACTTAAATATGAGCCAGCAGCATGCAGCAGCAGCCAAAAAAGAGGAATAGAATCAAGATCACATGAATTATTAGTACCTCTTTATAAAGCCTTAGTAAGATCATACTTAGAATACTAAATCCATGTTTGGTCACCACATTATAAAAAAGATGTTGAGACTCTGGAAAGAGTGCAAAAAAAGCAACCAAGTTTATTAGGGGGCTGGAGGCTAAATCAGGAAGAACAGTTGCAGGAATTGGATATGTTTGGTCTAGTGAAAAGAAAGACTAGAGGTGACATCATAGCAGTTCCAATATTTGGGGGACTGTCACAAAGAAGAGAGAGTCAACATATTTTCCAAAGCACTAGAAGGCAAGAGAAGAAACGATGGATGGTAACTAATTAAGGAGAGAAGCAACTTAGAACTAAGGAGAAATTTTCTAACAGTGAGAACAATTAACCAGTGGAACAGCTTGCCTTCAAAGGTTGTGGGTGCTCCATCACTGGAGCTTTTAAGAAGATATGGGACAGCCACTTGTCTATAAGGGTGGCCTATTGTTATTCTGATGCCATCCCTAGCACCCCATGTCTTCGAGAATGGTGCAATTGCCCTCATGACCCAGCACCCCTTAAGATCTGTCACATTTTTCATGTTTACATTAAGGCAATGTTCTTTTTGTATTGACAGATTCCTGTGGCATAGCCGAAGCTGCCCTGGGTAACCCAAGGCATTTGTTTTTGAAAGAACTTCAGAAAATGCTCTTCTATGACCTTTGCAGCCTCCAAAAATTGTGTGAATTCTTGCCTGATTCTCAGACGCTTCAGAGTATGCAAGAGGTTAGCCCTCTAGTGTGACTTCCAGAGATTGTGCAATATCACATCACATTCTTGTGAAACCTCAACAACCTCTGAAAATCAAGCAAGAGTGGGCATGTTTTTGAGAACAAGTGTTGTCAGGTGTTGGTGAATGCTGGCAGGCCACTCAAATGTCATGGTGTGTCTTTGACATGTATGAATAATCTAATGACTAGAAGGCAAAAAGTCCAAAAGCAGCAGAACTATAAGGTTCATTGTTAAAGGAACAATTCCAGAAAGTTGAAGGAGGAGGAAATATGAAAAGAATTATCAGCCATTTGAAAAATATGACTGGCATATTGATCGGAATGTAGGTTGACTGCGTAATCAAGACATGAATATTATTACTATGGAATCACTGGTGCTCTCCAAACTTAGTTATTTTCTTTACCAAAATAGATAACATCATAATTAGCAATATTCTCTTCCATTATTAAACTACTGTAAGCACTTTTTGATAAATTATTGACCATTTTAACAATCAATTGTTTGGAGGGAGGGAGGGAGGGAGGGAGGGAGGGAGGAAGGAAGGAAGGAAGGAAGGAAGGAAGGAAGGAAGGAAGGAAGGATACCTCATATGTGTAATTTGGACAGGAAACAAGTGTAAAAATCCATGTGAAAGGATTGAGTGTTGGACTTGGAAAAGATACTTTATTTCCTGTTGGAAAAAAGAAAAAGGAAAATATTGAGTTCATGAATTAGAAGAGATTTATTTATTTCATTGTATGCATATCTACTTTCATTTACAGAAAAAATATTTTCATCATAAGTTTATTTTGTATTCATGTATTTATGTTATAAATGTAATTCAATTCCAACTGCTCTTTAACTATTGTGATTTCCCATAGCTTGGATGGACATTCAAAAGATTCTCCTACATTTTATAAGTTTATACAGGATTCCAGGAAAGAAACTATATTCATTCAAAGTATTTAAGTTTAGCGCTGTCAGAGTAGAATGTGCGTTATGAATGTGTACTTATTTAAAGTAACAATATTACCATAAGATGATGAGAAAAAAAATCTCCTACACATAGACTGGAAAAATCAAATACAGGTATAGAGTATGTGGCACCTTGCTCAACAGTAGTTACTGTGAGAAAGATCTAGGTATCTTAGTGGACCACCATTTAAGTATGAGCCAGCATTAAGAGTCTTACTAATGTATTTATGGTGTAGTAACAGAAAAACAAACTCCAAAGGGAGGTCTTTGGAGGTCTATTTAGTCGAACCCCTTGCTCAAGGAGGAGAACCCTATACCATTTCAGAGAAATGGCTGTCCAGTCTCTTCTTAAAAGCCTCCAATGATGGAGTACCCACAACTTCTGAAGGCAAGCTGGTTGATTGTTCTCACTGTTGGGAAATTTCTCCTTAGTTCTAGGTTGTTTCTCTCTTTGATTAGTTTCCATCCATTTTTCTTGTCCTGCTTTCTAGTGCTTTGAAAATAGGTTGACTTCCTCTTCCTGTGACAGTCCCTCAAATGTTGGAACACTGCTATCATGTCATTCCTAGTCCTTCTTTTTACAAGACTAGACATATCCGATTCCTGCAACCATATTTCCATACTATATACCTAAAATATTATTATATATATGTATATACACACACACAAATACATATATATATATATTTCTAAATTTATATGTATATAAATAGTATTTAAATGTAAATAGTATATATAGTATAGTATTTATAGTAAATACAGTATAGTTGCAGATTTCCCAAATGTTGGGTTCTTTAAATGTACAGTATTGGACTGAAATTCCTATCATAACAACAAGGCACAAAATAGATAGTACTATGCAAGGAAGGCTGCTCTAGAATGTCCAAAACTTTTCAATCTAGGAGGCCACAGTGATTTTATTATTATTCTTCTTAGAATCATAGGGCTGGAGGTCCTATGTAGTCCAATCCCCTGCCCATGTCAGGAGGGTTTATAGCATTCAGGCCAAATGGTCGTCCAATCTTTTATTGAAAACCTCCAATAATGATGTATCGTCAACTTCAAGAGTCAAGCCATTGGTTAATTTTTCTCACTACCAGGGAACTTTTCCTTAGTTTCAGGTTGGATCTCCATTTACAAGTTTCTATCCATTGCTTCTTGTTCTGATTTCAGATGAAGACTTTCTTGCATAGTACCATCTAGTTTGTGCCTTGTTAGTAATAGTAATAGCAATAGCAATAGCAATAGCACTTATTTATATACCTCTTTACAGTGCTTTACAGCCCTGTCTAAGTGGTTTACAGAGTCAGCATAATGCCCCCAACAATTTGGGTCCTCATTTTACTCACCTCAGAAGGATGGAAGGCTGAGTCAACCCTAATGCTGGGAATACATTTAAAGAGCATAACATTTGGGAAATCTGCAACTATACTTTACTATAAATAATATACTGTATATACATTAATACTATAAGATTCTTAATGTTTCAGTAAGTCAATGGAGTCAACTGTTCTGATAAAATAAAGTTTAGCATTATGTGGATACTTTTTTGATTGTGACTATGTTCAGTTTAGTAAAGTGGTTAAAGTATTGGCCTAGAAATCAGCAAACTGAGTTTTTGACCTGCCTTAGGCATGAAAACTGAGAGGGGGACTATGACCAGTCACTCACTCTCAGCCCAAACCACCTAAAAATGTTATTGCTATGTGGAAAATAGGAGGAAGAAGCATTATGTTTGCCACCTTGAATTATTTATAAAAATAATAAAGGTGAATTAAAGAAATAAATAAGCCAATGCACACCATATTTTAGACTGCTTTTCCAAGATTCTTCAAAGAATAACGAATTAATTTTGTCCATCTTCAACATTTCAGAAGTATGATTATATGCCATCAAGTTGGTGCTGACTTTTAATAACCACATACATTTTCTTCATCATTCAGAAATGCAAATAATATGTATTTATAATAATATTCAATCAGCATTTTCAGAACACAGGCATTCTATAATCAGTCTTTGTATGGAGGCTTAACTTTCTGAGTGATAAGGCTTGACTTTTGTTCCAAAATTTTCAAACTATCTTCACCATATAATTAATAAACAGGCTTTTAGATAGATTCAAGAAGATCAGGAATTACAAGAGAACATTTTCAAGATCAGGAAGTACAAGAGAACTACAAGAGAACATTTTCAATTAGTAGGCCTCCTGCCAACATTAAGAGAAGACGCTAGAGAACCAGAAAGAAACACTGTCTTTGACCAATTCTCTGTTTGCATAAGGTAATTTACAATACTCAAACTATTTCTCAAACATCAAGAATAATGCTATGAAAAATATTAAAAGTTAGGAACTGAAAAATAACTACAAACCTGACTGGTTTTGATGAACCAAAGCCGCGTTGATAAAATGATTTCCAGCTTCACATACCTGCAAAATATTTCAAATGTATTCAATTTTTTGTACAGTTGGACACTATAATATTGTAACCTGTTCAGAGGTGGTTGCACCAGGTTCTGACCAGTTCTGGAGAACTGGTAGCAGAAATTTTGAGTAGTTCGGAGAACCGGTAGTAAAAATTCTGACTGGCCCCGCCCCTATCTATTCTCTGCCTCCCAAGTCCCAGTTGATCGGAAGGAAATGGGGATTTTGCAGTAACCTTCCCCTGGAGTGGGGTGGGAATGGAGATTTTACAGTATCCTTCCCTTGCCACGCCCACAAAGCCATGCCACGCCCAAAAGCCACACTCACAGAACCGGTAGTAAAAAAATTTGAAACCCACCACCGAACCTGTTGATATATTATCTGGAGAGCCTAGTAAATTCAGGTTAGGGCAGGGAAGCCCTATTTATATTCTCAAACTGTTCAAGAATATGGCTGTCAAGAATATAAACAAAAATAAATATGTTCTTTACAAAATATAACAATTTTCCTACAGTAACAACATGAACTGTGTCCTCTAGGCTTTCTTTACTAGTGATTTATGGAGTACTCACTGCTGTTTTTATTAAATATTATGCTTCTAATATATAGCTATCAATAGCTAGTGTGCTGGCCCCAGAGTTAAGTAGCATTTAGCATTAAATACATTGAGGTTCCCAGCTTAAATGAATAAAAATTCCAACCAAAAATGTGTTAGACTATCAATTACAACACTTGTAAGGCTGTACATTTTCTTGTTTAAAAAGTGGGGTAGGGAGAAGGTAAGATGGACTAAACATGAGAAAATAAGCTAATGTTCCAAATGGAAGGCAGTGATATCTTGGCCTTTGATAAAATCCTATTAAGGATGGCCGCACAGTGATTTCAAAACAAGAGTCTCATTTGGAACCATCCCTGACTTATGCAGTTGGTTCTCATGTTGTGACTTATAAAGATAAATACATGTAATTAGCTAAGCATTGCTTGCTTTCTGCTGCATAGCTTGCAATCACCTTGAATTTTCCTGACTTAGCAAATTAAAACTTTTTAACCTTAAAACGTTGCAGTTTATGAATAAGCTCTTTGTATGTAGTATACCTTTTTTCTTGGTTTAAAATTCTAACATGACCAACTACTATAGTTTTGATACCAACATTAGAATGGCAGCTTTTAAGTTTCAATTCGGAAAAAAATTCAGATAATATAAAACATAGGGCCTTCAAAGGAACCTTTAAAAAAATCCTCCACATGTGTCATTCCCCTAAAGACATTTACCGTATTTTTCGGAATATAAGGCGCACCTATCTTTTTGGGTTTTTTTTTTAAAGTTTTTAAAAAATTTTAGACAAACACATATACAAACATACAATGTATTTTCTTTGAACAGAGTATTTGGCTGGTTCACAAATTTAAACAGTGTTTAGTCATTTCAATTAAATTTACAGTTTCTATATTTCCTTTTTGCCATATTTATTCCTCATCTATTTTTTTTTAAAACCCAATATTACCCTTCATCCTCATCTCTAATCTTAATCAAATCAAATTTAGGGGGGAAAAGGTGCGTCTTATACTCCAAAAAATATGGTATTAGATATTTTCCACACTTATATTTATTCTCCAGCTGCTTGCCTCTACTTACCAGAAATCCAAAGGTAGCAAAAGAAACTTGCTTGTTTCCAAATGCTAGAAAGTATATAAAACCATACATTAGTCTTAGATGATTGTAGATACTAGAGAAACATTTTAGTATCTACAATAATATATAATTGATATATAATTCACAGGATTTTGTCTGTTTGGAAACTTAATTCTTTGATATTACTGTGATTTGTTCATTGATATGTACTCAAAAACAAATGCTTAATTCACAATATTTAACTCAATATATTTCTACGTATTTAACCCAACAAAAGGAAACAAAAAAACTGATCTATATTACATACATAATTATTATTTTGCTACAGATTTCCTACAGTTTATTGGATTAGTCCATTTCAGACATACTATTTTGGAATAAACCAATTAAGCTATTAAATATCTTTTTTTAAAAAACAAATTTTATTGGGTTTTTTTTTCTCCTCTCCCACCTTCACCCATATTTTTCTTTTTTTTTGTTTGAACAGAGTGTTGATCGTTTCTTATCTTATACAATTAGTCAAATTCAAATATATTTTATTCAATTACATTTTTTGATTTTGTCAATATCGTCTTCCCTCCTTTCCTTTTTTTTTTGAATATATCTCAGTATTTCTATACTTGCATACATAAACACCTTCTTCATTTATCCCTAAATTCTAACTTTACTATTTGTGCATATTTATCCTCTTTTATTCTTAAACAATTCATTCTTTTTCTTAATATATTTATATTTGTTTGTTCAGAGCTGCCTTCCTTCCACTTCATCTTTTTTTATTATACAGCAATCTTTCTCCTCAAACCTAACCTCTCCCTCTTCTCCTTCCCCACCTTTCTTTCCCCACCTTCTTCTCTTTTCTACTTCCCCTTCCCTTCTCCTTCTCCTCCTCTCTTCCCCCGTCTTACCTTCTCTCCTACTCTGCTTTCCCTTCCCTTCCTTCCTTCCTACTCTTCCATCCCTCTCTCTCCTTCCTCCTCCCTTCCAATTCCTTCATCTCTCTCTATTGCTGAATTCATTTTCAATTTAATGTTTTCCATTGTGGAATTCAGGCAACCCTGATCCCTTATCTTTTTCATTATTAACAATATATTTCATCTTGTTCTCTTTTTTCCTTCAAATCTATTAAATATCTGATGGGAAGCCCAGACCCCACCCCAGGATGGACCACAGACTGGATCAGTTCAGAGAGATCAACTATGTTTCTCCATCTGTAATTATGTTATAATATTTATGGCCTCTACATCAAAACATTATGCAGTAGTATTGCCCCACATAACAGGAAAAATTATATTGCTTTCCCACATTATAATATTAGCAATATTAGCATTAGCAATATTAGACAGAGACGAAGTATGGGATGGAGTTCCTCTGCTAGCAAATGTTTATAAAAATAAGTATTTTCACTGTAAAAGTTATTTTTTTTATAAAAAATGCCAATGCAAAAGTGAATCACTTTCAGTCATGAGAAAATGCCAAAAGAATGCTATCTAGATCTATTACTTAAGCACATCCCTCTGTTCTACTTACATGGAGGAGTATACTGGGGGTGGTTGATGTAGTAAGCAAACCAAGAAGTAAATCCCCAGTAAAAAGCACAGCCCTATAATGGAAAATACAGGTAATTATAATATAGATTTTGATATAGAATATACAACTATTTTGATGCTATTTTTTTTTTACAAACAAATATCAGAACAAATATCAAACTAGAAAGTATCAAATAGCTTTTATTTGAAAATAATGTATTGGAAATATTTTAATGTAATGAGGTAAAGAAAAAAATTATACAGGGGAGGGAGGGGTTCAAGTTTATATATAAGTGTTATATTAAGGGTTTTTTATGAGTATGAGTATATTATAGGGAAGTCTGGGGGGAGGGGAGGGTTAGGGAGGGTTAGGGAGGTTGGGAAGTCTGGGGGGGGAGGCGGGGGGGGAAAGGGGTGAAAATGTAATTGTAAAACTTTTGCAATAAAAAAAAAAAGAGCACAAATACCTTTCATGACTCTAAAAGAAGTACTAGGTTGAAATTGTTCTACAGAGAGTTTCCTTGTATGATGAATAACACTCTTTCTTTTAACTATCATATCAGAAAGAACATCACAGAAACAGAATAAACAGAATACAGATAGTTTCTGATCTTTTACATTTTTTTTTACCCAAAGGACTGTTGCATCTTTATGAGTGGACACTAAAAACTATTGAAGAGGTCCATTTTCTGTTCAAAAGTATATATATCCCAAATTAAACTTCGTGGGAGTTGGTAATCTTATTTGGTAAGATTGCTATTAAGTAAAGATCTCAGAGATATGTTATCTCTCTGAGGCAATCAAATAATATGGATATTATGATATCTCATATTCCTCCAAAGGAGGCACTACATTTAATACACTATTATTGCTTCCTGCACTAAATGCAGTGCCCATCATACTATGCCCCCCCCCAACAGTGGTAGCAATTGAATCTTTTTATTTTTCCAGAGAGGCACATATTCTAGCAGCATTGAAGATATATCCAGCTAAGGTTAATGCACAATTACTCTTTGGTGCTCAGTTGGGACCTTACTCCTCTTTCATTCCGTTGCAAAGGTTGCAATCCAAATTCCTAAGAGCCATATTTCAGGTAGTGCACTGCATCTCAAATACAGTACTAAGGAGGGAGAAACAGGTGCACGGATTTACATTTGTGTACATTGGTTAAAGCTACCCGTTTTCCTTACTGGGTTCTCTCCTTATAGAAGACAATTTCAAATCAATATAGTTGAGGACCATCTCACAAAAACTTCAGTATTTTGATCTCTCCAGGGAAGTGCTTTTTTTTTTTACTACATTTTTTTTTATTAAAAAGTTTTATCAAATATTACAACTATTTTTCCCCATCCCTCCTCCCCCCCTTCCCTCCTCCACCCACCCCCCACCCCCCATCCCCTCTCTCCCTCCAACCCACCTCCCCCCACCCGGGACTTCCCAGAGCAAATACAGGGTATAACATTTAACAAACATAAACTAAAATATGCTAACTTTCTGTAGGCTCTTAATTCCCTCTTGCTTTCTAACTCCCCTTTCAACTAACAAAACATAATTCAAAAAGAAAAAGTTGATTTCATTCATAAGCTATTTGAAGCTTTTTAGTCCAATATTTGTTTTGAATATAGTCAATCCATCTTCTCCATTCCAATATATATCTTTCATTTGAGTGATCCTTCAAATACGCTGAAATTTTGGCCATCTCTGCTAAGTTCACTACTTTTAGTATCCATTCTTTTTTTTAATTTTTTTTATTTAAAAAGTTTTACAAATACATTTTCTCCCCAATTTCCCCCCCAAGCCCTCCCTAACCCTCCCCTCCCCCCAGGACTTCCTCAGAATGAAATCCAAATCAAAACCACATTTTATGAAACTTGAACCCCTCCACCCCCTGTGTACTGTTTATATCTTCATAGAATTTAATTAATCTATCCCTGCATAATACATTCAGCTAAAAGCTATCTGATATTTCCTAGTTTGATATTTATTCTGCACAAAGTCTATCCACTTCTTCCACTCCCATACATAAATCTCTTGAGTCCGATCTTTTAAATATGCTGAGATCTTCGCCATATCTGCAAAACTGGCCATCTTCAAAGTCCATTCTTCAATAGTGGGCATAATATCATTTTTCCAATATTGACCTATCAATAATCTTGCTGCTGTCACCATATACAATATCAGCTTTGTTTCACCCAATGTAAAACCCTTAACTATACCCAATAAAAACAATTGTGGAGAAAACTGAAGTTTTTTCTTCAAAACATTTTGCATAACCCACCAAATTTTTATCCAAAAAGCCTTCACTTTCTTGCAGGTCCACCATATATGATAATATGTGGCATTTAAGCAATCACATCTCCAACATTTTGGTTGAACATTAGGATACATACACGACAGTTTCTTAGGATCTAAATGCCACCTATAAAACATTTTATAAAAATTTTCCCTCAAATTCTGCGACTGTAAATTTAACATTCTGGACCCATATTTTTTCCCATGTTTCCAACATCACTGGTTCTGCAAAATTTTGCAGGGAAGTGCTTTTAATGATGGGGTATGAGTATGCCCTTAGTGCACTTAAACAATGTATTAAAGATCTGGAAATCTAATAAGATTGGGCTGCTTTTCCCAAGAATGTTTATTTGAGCAATCAAACTAGCCGTTTAAAAGCAGCAAGATATTTATATCAAATAACCATCCCAAAATCCAAAGGCATTAACCTTAACACTTTGCAACGTACTTCCCACAGCAAGACCGATACAAAAAAATATATATGACTTGAGACTGTGCCCTGAGGACAAAGGGTCACTGAAATTGTAGCTCATGTTCTACTATAATGTATCTTCTATAAGAACTCATACACTCAATCTTATCTAATAAAATATCTGGGAAAATTGACCTTTTTCATGTGCAACTACTGTTATCAGATCAGTGTGAAGTAATTTCTCTGAATATAGCCAAATTCTGCTATGCTGTGCATAAAATTAGGCAAACTTTAACTGCACACTGTTAATCCTCCACCAATCATAGTATATTATTCTGACTTTTATTTTTTTACTATTATTGTTGTTGTTGTTGTTGTTGTTATTCTTTTATTGACTCAGTCAACTGAACATTTAGAAATATATCATAAGTACCATTGATTGGTGCTAATGGTTGATACAGGTTGCTGACAGAGTCCTAGGTATCAACCAAGTATCTTCTTAAAATATACGATGTTCCAAGTAGCACAGTTTTTTGCAGTTCTGCTGGTGTTATTGCGGGAAGCTGCAATTTCTTGATATGTTTTGTAAAATTCTTGGACATGGTACCATGCTCCCCTATTCTTCTTGCAGGTACAACCTGTTGACATCACTTCGTGGATGTATTGATTCAAGTTCAGTGGGGCTTTTTGCATACCGTTTTAAATCATCCATGTATAGTAGATGGTTTATCTTGCCATGTTGGCTTGAGATTTGGTAGCCCAGTTTTGTGTTTTGTAGGATTATTGTCAGTGAAATTAATGCGATATTGAACAGTAGTGGCGAAAGTGAGTCCCCTTGGAAGATTCCTCAACTGATGTTGACTTCACCAATGTTCTCCCCATTTGCTGTTAGAACTATTTTCCATTTTTGTGTATTTGCTTTCAGAAATATACAAATATTTTTGCTGATTCCAAATTTTTTCAGACAGGAGTTAATCCAGCTGTGGTGCGGTGAGTCAAATGTCTTCTTGTAATCTATCCGCGCCATATTTAAATTTGTTCTTGTTCGTTTTCCATTTTTTAAGTACCATTTTGTCAATGAATAGCTGATCTTTTGTTCCTCTTGATTTTTTTGTAATATCCTTTTTGTTCTACTGGATACAAACAGTTTTCCATCTGATGATTGAATACTGAATTTACCTGTACTTTTGTCAAAAGTTTGAATGTTGTTGGCAGACAAGTGATTGGGCGATAGTTGCTTAGTTCTGTGCCCTTTATCAAGTATGTTCAGCCAGCTGTTAAGCATTCTTCGCTTGTTGCATTTTGAAGCATTTCATCAAATTAGTGGCCATGCTGTGATGGAGGCTGGTCAGGTGTTTTAACTAGTATCCATGCAGTTCGTCCAGGCCAGGTGCACTTCAGTTCTTGACCTTCTTTAATTGTTGTGCAACCATATCAGTTATTATAATATTTTCCATTTTGTTTCATGTTGTTTGCTTTTGAGAATCTTTGATCCAGGAGGCAGTTTTATTGTGTTCCACTGGGTTTCCCCACAGTTGTTCAAAAAGTTCAAAGTTTTTTCTTTACATGGGTGAATATCAGTATGAACTTGACTTTCAACAAGTGATCAGTAAAAGAGGTGTTGGTTTCTTCTAAACATTTTCACGATATTGTTTTATTCGTCCTTTGTATCTTTCAATTTTCTTTTCTGTTGCTATTACACACTGTTTTAGTTCTTCCATAACTTCTGTTATTGTTTTTTCCTCCAGGTTGTATTTTTTGTGTAAACTATTTTTCAGCTTTTTAGTCTTCAGTTTTCCTTCTTTCAAGTATTTCAAATTGCTGACATCTCCTCGTAGTTTTTTTATTTTATTTTGAAGTCGAATTTTCCACTTTGATGTTCCAGTGGGTTTCTTTTCTGGCATTTTATAATTGTGCAGTTATAATGGCAGCTGTGCTATACATTAGTTGGTTCGTTTCATATAGTATGCTGGATGGGATGGAAGTTAAAATGTTTTTCACGGCAGTTAGTAAATCTTTCACTCGTTTGCTTTGCACATTATTATTATTATTAGTAGTAGTAGTAATGGTAGTAGTAGTAGTAGTAGTAGTAGTAGTAGTAGTAAAATAATGCTTTTATTTGCTGACCGTAAAAAAAAATGATGATGGCAGTATTTCTCTATATCCCCATAGAGCCACTGAAAACTTTTGATAGGGGGTCCCTGTCTTCACTGGCTTCATGCCTAGGTCTTGTGCAACAAAAATATTTATTTCCCAAATTTCATGTTAATCTAGATTTTTCTTCCTTATCTTTCAAAGGAAATAGGAAATCTGTACCAAAATTCCTAAGGATCAAAGCTTACAGATCATTATTTTTCATGTGAAAGCAGT